GCTCCAGAGATGTCCAATTTGACAACCACCACCGGCGCACCAACCACGACTGCTTCCTGGATCGCTGAGGTGACGAGGTACCCCGCATCAGCGACACCTTTTGAGCGAACACTTCCAAGACAGCAGGCGGGGGCAGGCCAATAACGCAACAGTCTGGAAATGCACAACTTAGTCAGGAGCTTGACCACAACCTCGCCAAGAACAATGGGACGCAACATGTCCGCGCTGCTCACTTGAAGCTTCTTGGGCAGGAGAATAACCCACCCAATCAGAAGATCACACTGCACAAGCAGGCCTGGCCAAGTGAGCATATCATTCAAGACCCCTCGCAGGCTCTCGAGTCCGACTTCGTGTGCCGTCAGGGCTCTAAGCAACTCCACGCTGACCTTGGACATGCCCGTGGTCTTGTTCATCTTCATGGTACGCACACACTCCGAGATTTCTTTTGCAGTGAAGGGCGGCTCAACATCCGGCAACTGCTCAAGCTTTCCAAGAACATCACCGCATTGCAACTCAGGGGAGAACTTGCTGATGAAATGGGTCTTGACCTCCTCAACAAGCTTTGACCGATCCCCATCCAGCTGCAACAGCATGGGCCATAAGGAAGCCTCGAGAGAAACGGTGTTTGCAAGCCTTTTTCTGGCCTGCCAGTTCCCCGAAGCCGCACTGAGGTACAAGTGACGTTTCCACTCTTGTTTGGCAAGCTTGCGGGCCTCCACAATCTGCAACGACACGCGGCGCCTAACCTCCAAATCAACCGTCCGGGAACGGACACGACAGAGTTCTTTCACCTCAGGCGGATCCAAATATCTGAGTGCTCTGCGTGGTTTCGTGAGTGTGGCAGCAAGACGGTTCAAGAACGGGATGCCAGATGATGAGCCGTCCAACGCTCGTGGGAGTGCATCCAACTGTGCTGCCACTGCATCCGGGTTCTCTAAGCACATGCGGCGGGGCACACGGGACCAGTCAACGCGACGTCGCCTTCGTCCAGGAGCAGGGCTAACGGGGCGAGGCAACAAAACATCAGAGACCACAGCATTATGATCCACACGGAGCATCTCCCGGAGATCAGGTCGCACAGCATAGTCTCCCCAGGGACGGTGCTCAGAGGAGTGACAAGCTGACATGCGCCCAAAAGCATCATTGCAGATGATGTAGTCAATGGTTCTCCGCCTCCATGTGTACCCTCTGTTTGAAGGCCACACCGTGAGACCAAGTACTGAGAGCATCGCATGAACTGCAGCTCCCCGGTCAGAGGCAGGGCCATCACGGAAGAGGTCGTAGTTCAAATCACCCAAGAGAACAATTGGAAGCCCTTTGTCCGTGGTTGGCTGGACTGCTGCAACAAGGCTATCGCACGCAAGCAAGAAGTCATTCACGGGCCGACCGGAATGAGGGAGGTGAACATTGACAAACAAAACACCCCTGCCGGCAGCCTGGAAGCGCATACCCAATCTGAAACGACGACCAGCTGATCCCATCCTCCACGCAGAAAACCAACCGTCGGAAGCATCCCTCAGGGAGGCCTGATAGGACCAGCATGTCACCCACCATATCGCATTCAGGGGTCTGTTCTTCAGACCCACATGCATGACCGCTTTCTTTCGAAGCAGTAACCTCCTGTAAAGCAATGATGTGGTTGTCAACCTCAGCATCCTCAAGGATCTGCAGAGTTTGAGTCCAGGACTTACCTTGGGTATTCCAGGAACACATTTGCACCAAAGTAGTGGTGAATTCAAGGGAGCGCTGCGTTTGTGAAACCGAACCACTGGATCACTTGAAATGAGTATTCCACAGGACCGCCAAATCCTGCGGAGTCCTTTTGGCTGCGGTGGCAAGCGCTGTGAGGTCAACAGCCACGGACATCACGCACATTCATTCGCTCATCATGGCGAAGGTGACTGCTGGGGCCGAATGCAGACAACATCCTTGTAACCCGGTGCTCTCCGATGAAGGCACGCGCCTGGGACCACGATCCCACCTCGAGATCCTCCCGTCGCATGGTGAGCTTCTCAACAAGAAAACCACTAAGCATGGCAATTGCCTTGCCCACCGCCCTGATGTCAAGCGGTTGGTCCGTCTTGCACCACACAGGTGCCTGGAGGCAAGCCCTGATAGCATCCCTGATCTGGATCTGCTCCTGATTCTTTTCTCATAACTAGAAAGGCCATCCCGGAAAGAGAGAACAAGCTTGCAAATGGTTGGACCGCTTGCCGCGCAACTCTGTCTCAACAACCTTCTCGCCCATCCCACTCTGGCTAACAGCGTTTTGGATGAGAGACAGAACCGCATCCCTGGATTTGCCTTCCACCCAACCACCAATCACCAAATCCAAGGATTCGTGGTCCACTGGGGGTACCGTCCGATACGCCCTTGACGTCTCAGGCGAGGTAGGGGACGTAGGTCGGGAGAAATCAGCCTTTTGGAGCTCAGCAATTTCGGCCTGAAGTTCGTCCATACGTCTGCTATGAGCATCAGCTAGCTCACTGAGTTCCCTTGTTGTCTGCTCCTGCTTAACTTGCACGTTTGCGAGTCTTTGATTTGCCGTATCCTGTCCCTGTTGAATGAGCTGAAGTGAGGCAGCAAGTGGAGCAAGATGAGTAGCAACAGAAGAGGCGACGGCTGCCTGAATTGTTGAAACAAAGTCCACCTGGGTAATGGGGAGCTCCTGTCTAGCTTTCTTGCTGGGAGATTCCTCATCATCCTCCTGATGCGGCACAAGTGCAAGGGCTTCAGGCTGACCCTCGCTCGACATGCTGGGGAACTGGAGGTGGAGGTCACCACGCTTTTGTACAGGACTTGAGCCAAACTTGAGCCAAAATGGGTTTAGGGATTAGGGTTAAGTTTCAGCACTCACAACTAGACAAGCAGGCGAGGATTCGAGTACTTTGGGTTGTGGTTTAGGGTTTGGGGTTTGGGGTTTGGGTGTAGGGTTTAGGGTTAGGGTTTGGGTGTAGGGTTGTGGTTTAGGGTTTAGGGTTTAAATGTCTTTTTTATGTCTGTTGTCACACATTCACATGTGTAGGGTGTGGTTGTAAGGTTTAGGGTTGAGGGGGTTTTGCACGGGTTTCAAGTTTTTTGAGTTGAAGCTTTACGGTTTAGGGTTTGGGTGTAAGGTTTAGGGTTTAGGGTTCTGGTTTAGGGTTTGGGTGTAAGGTTTAGGGTTCTGGTTTAGGGTTAAGGACTTGGTTGTAAGGTTTAGGGGTTTAGGGTTAAGGGTTTAGGACATAGGGCTTAGGGTTCAGGATTTACGCTTGGCCGAAACTCGGCCGTGACCCGGCCGAGACTCGGATTTAGGGTTCGCCAGGGTTTAGGGATTAGGGTTAAGGGCTTAGGAGGGTTTAGGGTTTCGACGCTCACACTCGCACGCAGCAGGCAAGGCTCCACATAGTCCACAGTATCTCCACTACACTAGTTGATAGCCCGCATGAGTGCTCCGATGAACTAACAGCAACACCGCGCCCAATAAGTAAAGTCAAAGATATAACACACAACAACACGTTGGAGCCATCAGACACCCAGCAGACTATGGGTTGGGCAGTTGCCCCTATTTCAAAATATCACTGTCTTCTCTACTCAGGCCCTCGTTGTGCTCCGCCTCATCATGTAGCGTGGTTCATGCATCACAGGACGTGTGCCCGGCAGGCGTGGTTCAATCATGCAGGTCATCTTGCAGCGTTCATGCCCCCTCAGGCAGAGGCGGGTGTCAAATTCACTTCATTCCTCATGCTTTCATTTATCACATGCAGAGCATATACATGCAGCCACCACTCCATCTTCTTGCATTCCCTCCAGAGCCCAGTGCCGCTCTGGTAAGTGCATGCATATCTGTGTCAGAAACTCCAGGCTTTCCCATGGGGGCATCCAATAGGGTTTAGGGTTTAGGGTGTAGGGTTTTGGGTTGTGGTTTGGGGTTTGGGGGTAGGGTTTAGGGTTTGGGTGTAGGGTTTAGGGTTGTGGTTTAGGGTTTAGGGTTTGGTCGTACGGTTTACGGGTTTACGGTTAACGGTTTAGGATATAGGGCTTAGGGTTCAAGATTTACGCTTGGCCCAGACTCGGCCGTGACCCGGCCGAGACTCGGATTTAGGGTTCGCCAGGGTTTAGGGATAGGGTTAAGGGCTTAGGAGGGTTTAGGGTGTAGGGTTTTGGGTTGTGGTTTAGGCTTTAGGCTTTGGGTGTAGGGTTTAGGGTGTTGGGTTGTGGTTTAGAATTTAGGGTTTGGGTGTAGGGTTTAGGGTTGTGGTTTAGGGTTTAGGGTTTGGTCGTACGGTTTAGGGGTTTTTGGTTAAGGGTTTAGGATATAGGGATTAGGGTTCAGGATTTACGATTGGCCGAGACTCGACCGTGACCCAGCCGAGACTCGGATTTAGGGTTCGCTAGGGTTTAGGGTGCAGGGTTTTGGGCTGTGGTTTAGGGTTTGGGGTTCGCTAGGGTTTAGGGATTAGGGTTAAGGGCTTAGGAGGGTTTAAGGTTTAGGGTGTTGGGTTGTGGTTTAGAATGTAGGGTTTGGGTGTAGTGTTTAGGGTTGTGGTTTAGGGTTAAGGGTTTGGTCGTACGGTTTAGGGGTTTAGGGTTAAGGGTTTAGGATATAGGATTTACGCTTGGCCGAGACAAGGGTGTAGGGTTTTGGGTTGTGGTTTAGGGTTTGGGGTTCGCTAGGGTTTAGGGATTAGGGTTAATATTAAGGGCTTAGGAGGGTTTAGGGTTTGCAGGTGAAACCTGACTGCTCCGTCTCTTGCAGGACTCAGCAGTGCAAGAGCGCGATAACGAAGCTTTGTGAATCAAGGTGACGCAAAAAGGCGTGCCAGCAGGAGTGCCTCTAGAGCTCTGTAGAATCTGAGCCATCGTTTACTCCTTGTGGCGGAACCATCACGAGTAGCAGCTTGGGCAGAATTATCCATTGGACCGTGCAAGTGCCTCAACCACTTGCATGGTAGCGGAGCCTACGGGCTCATAGTTGAGATCCAGGGAAGATTGAGCATCAGACGCCGTGGCCTCTGATGACTACAAGTGGAGGAGACAGTGCGCGATCCAAGGATTGGATCCCCCAGTGGGATGGAAGTGCAGCAACCTTCCAACAGTATGAGGAGGAAGCCCTTCTCTGGCAAGAGGGGATCGACTACTACAAGCGCTACACCGCCGGACCGCGACTCGTAGCAGCCCTTCAAGGAGCAGCTCGCCGGATGGTGGTAGGACGGCCAGTCGGATGGGTGTCTTTTCCGGGTGGTGTGGAAGTGCTACTTCAATACCTTCGAGGTTGCCTGGGCCGACCCCAGGTGTCGGAGATGACTGACTATTTGAGTCAGTACTTCCGACATTCCCGAAGGAAGCACGGAGAATCCATCAACGACTACATCACAAGGAAAAGTGAGATTTACACCCGAGCTCAGCAAGCTCTTAGCCGTGTCCGCCCTCATCACGAACCTCGAACGGTTCCAACCAATGAAGGGCGCGGCAATCCTTACTACGCAAGGAGGAGCAGCTGGTCGTCAGAAGCGACCACCACAGTGGGCGAGGCGGCCGAGGATGATGATCAGGAGACTACAGATGGGGCTGCGACCAGTGAGCCGCAGTGGAGCTACCACGAGCCGAGGTCATGGCACCAGAACAACTGGACCTGGAACGGGAGCAGTTCTTGGGGCCAATCATGGTGGCCAGCTTCTCAGTGGAATGAGGGACGTTGGTCGGGAAACCAACACCAGTGGCGACCTGAGCCAGGGGTGGCTCATGTCGAGCTCCTGCCTGATTGGGTCCAGGGCTGGTACCTGTTACAGGACGCGAATCTGACCACTTCCGAGAGGAACATGGTGCACACGGCGCTCAAAGGCAACTTTGGGCTCCAGCGAGTAGCCCAGGAGCTACGCAACCAGTGGGCAGATGCCGACCTGAAGCGTCGGGACCAGCAGCACAGGTCTTCAGGCTTCCTCGGCGAGGCCGAGCTTGATGAGGATGAGAACGAGGCCTGGGCAGTGGAGGATCAGGACGATGACGGTGACTTGAATGAAGAGGGCCAGGCACTTGTGGCAGAGGCCACCGCCGAGGCCCGTCAAGCACTGGCGGCGATTCAAGGAGCTCGCCGAACCCTCAAAGAAGCACGTCACAAACAACATCAAGTTCGCCTTTCCAGGAAATATTACCAGAGTGGCCCTCGACCTCAAGGTGCCAGCAGCTCCAGCCGTGACGACTCGAAGATGACCTGTATGGGATGTGGAAAAATCGGCCACCGTGTGGCCAACTGCCCCCAAGCAGAAAGCGCAGCTCGTGGACAACGAGGCTGCACCCTTCGTCTGTTATGCGGAGCAAGCCCTGGCGGGTGGCTTCGAAGCGGAGAGGACCGGGAAGGTGCTCACCACCGCAGAGGCGGTGGCCGAAGGCTTCGGCGTGATTGATGGAGGAGCCACCAAGACACTAGGCTCCGTGAGGGCCTTGGAGTCAATCATGAAGAAGAACTTGGAGAAGCGAGGGGACAGCGGCCTACGTGAAGTGGACCCAAGCAATCGACCTACTTTTGGCTTTGCGGATAGTGGGGAAGCCCAGTGTGTGTCAACAGTGGCGTTGGGTCTTCAGGCTTCTGGACAGGATGGCAAGCTCCAGGTGCACGCCTTGAACAAAGGCACCGGACCAGTTTTGGTCTCAGTGGCAACCTTGCGGAAGCTTGAAGCGATCATCGACTTCCGCAGCGATTTGATGGTACTACGAGCCTTGGATCCGACCAAGGTGATCAAACTGGAGAGGTCAGCCACGGGGCATCAGTTAGTGAACCTGACTGAGGATTTGTTTAAAGGCGCAACGGCGGCTAAGACCGCAGTTCCGTCGCTGGCGTCCTACTTGGAGTAGGGACAGCACCTCTTGTGGACCAAACCGGATGGGAAACGAGAGGACCAGTGTTTTTCCGGTAGGGGAAATCTTGAAGCCTCCACACAGCCTTCTAGTGGGGAAACTGAGAGGGTTGAGGGGACTTCTAGAGATAGGGGTAAGCGAGTTTCTTTTTCCATTCCTGATGAGAGTGCAGATGCGCAGCATGAGTGCGAGTCACAAGCTTGGTCGACTCAGCCACCTCCTCAGTCGAGTCCTTCATCCCAGCAGCTTCCATTGCCCCCCGAACACCATGGGCAAGATCGACCGCATGACCAAACCCCAGCTGCGCGAGGCCATCGAGACCTTCGGGGAGTATCCAGCAGAAGCCTGGACTGTGGCCGAACTACGCCATCGTCTCCTAGAGCTTGTGGAGGAGGACGAAGAAACATGGGCCAAGACGGCAGTGGACGACAAGACACCACTGCAACAGGCGATCCAGAAGCTCAACAAGTACAAGCAGCGCAAGGCCACGTTGCAGGATTACACCGAGAATGTGTTGGGTGTGGAAGTGGGACCCAACGAGACGATGAGCCAGATCGAGCAGAAGACCATGAACCACCTCTACCTCACCACGGAGAGCAGCGGCCGCGACATCGTCGGTTTCGGCCGGCATGCTGCCCTCACGTACGCGGAGGTGCTTCAGACCTATCCCCAGTATGCCGAATGGGTGCGCCAGACGCACATGGAGACCGACGAGACGAACCCTCGCTTGAAGAGGTTTGCCACATGGTTGCTCAAGGTGCTCGATGTGATGAAGCCTGTGGAGTCGCCACAGAAAGGAGGAGTGGCCCAGCGACCGGTCCTCAAGGTCAAGGGCGGCTACCTCTACGAACCGGAGCCGGAGGCCGCACGAGCAGCCCCCAAGGCTATGAACCGAGCGGCATCATCGACGGATACCCCCATCCCGACACAGCAGATGGAGGTGATGCAAACCATGATGGAAGCCCTGCAGCAAATGCAGAGCGAGATGCGAGAACTACGCGAACTGCAGACGCCGAGCGAGGAGCGGCCACGCAAGAAGGAGAAGTAGATTCACGAGGGCGTGGCGGTGATCCAAACCTGAGAGCGCCTCGTGACCTAGATCCAGACCAGGCCTCAGCACCTAGTCAGCTCCTTAGTCAGGACGAAGCCCGACACTTAGAGCAACAGTCCTACAGTGTGGTTCCCGAGTTGTTTCAGCAGCTAGTGGCCTCAGACGGAAGTGGCGGGTCACGACCCGTTCTCATGGAAGTTGCATGTGAGCCGGACAGCTTGATTACCAAAGCGGTCCAGGACCGCTTGGGAGATGCTCAGGCAGCTAGTCGTTGTGCACTTTGGAACGCCGGTGATCTAAGTACTCCCGAGGGTCTTCAGTATGTGTTGGATAGGATTCGAGTTGAAAGACCTCAACATGTCTGGGTGTCACCCCCATGTGGCCCGTTCTCACAGATGCAGAGTATGAACCAGCGTACCGAGCAACAGCAACAAGAGTTGAATGCGAAGCGTAGGGAAGTGATGAAGGTGTATGTTGGAGCGTGTTGTGTTTACCACACATGTATGCAGCTCGGCACGCATTGCACCTTGGCTATGTCGGAACGCAGTGACGCATGGCGGCTCCCGATATTTCAGAAGCTTCAGAAGAGGTACGGGTTGAGGAGTGTTGTTGTCAAGGGTTGCCAGGTTCAACTTCGGGATTCCGTGAGCAATAAGTTGCTTCAGAAGGGGTGGCAGATGCTGACTAGTCACGCTAGACTTGCGGAGCAGTTGGAGTTACCATGTCGCTGTGGGCGACACTATCAGCATGCCAGATGTGAAGGCAGGACTGCCAATGGCCGCAGGAGTTACACACAGGACTTTGCACGACGAGCGGCAGAAATCATATGTCAGGAGTTGAGCTATCAAGCCGTGTTGAGCGAGTGCGAGGGAAAGAGCCAGCTTCCGGAGGGTTTCGGAGAGGGTGAGTTGTGTACTTGCGGAGAAAGTAAGATTCAGGGGTTCCAGATGACTTGTTCGAATTGCATTTCAGGAAGAGAGTTCGTGGAAGAGAGCGGTAAGAAGAGTAGAGAGGGGACCGAGGAAGAGCAGAGTATGTACACTCAACAAGAACACGAACAAGTGGAAGAGCTGGCGAACAAGTTGTATCAGAACAAGCAGTACCAAACCCATGAAGCTGAAAGCCTCCTGGAGCACGTGAGCCGGATGAACCATGGAGCCCAGCGACGAATGGCATCAAGTACTACTTCTGGATATGCGACTTTTGGCATGTACTCCCATGGTAATCATTACGGCATGACTAGGAAAACCGACGAACTGCCCCACACGACTCGATACTTTAACGCGTTCCTGAAGCACCGCTTACCAAAGGGGAGTCATTGGACCTCGTTTGTGTTGAGTTGTAATGCGAAACTTCCGATACACCGAGATATTCACAATGACAGTCAGTACCCCAACCATTTGATGGGAATGGGAACGTATACTGGGGGAGAGCTTTGGTTGGAAGCTCCCCCCGGATATGAGGGTCAAGACAAGCTGCTTCAGGAATCAATCGATGGGCGCACCATCGTGGGGCGCAAGATTCCGACGAAAGGACAGCATGTGGAGTTCTCTCCGCAGGCGTGGCACGGGACGTGCCAATGGAAGGGGAAGCGATTGATGATTTCAGCCTACGTAAGCCGAGGGCATTTGTTGGTTCAGGAAGGGATGAGGGAAGAACTTCGGAAGAAGGGTTTTTCGTGTCCTAGGTACCCAGGCGAAATTGTGGAACAGGGTTTAGCCTTGCAAGGGAAAAGGACAGGAGTATGGAACAGACCCATGAACAGTAACCCCAAAGCCCAGAACCAACGACAACAGGATGAACGAATCAAGAAAAACTTGTACCTCCTTCATGCTGCAACCGGTCACGGTAGTGTTCGTCATCTTGTGGATGCATTACGCCGACGAGGAGCATCAAGTAGAGTTTTGGAAATGGCCAAGCAGTTCCAGTGTTCAGTGTGCCAGGAGAGGCGCAAAGTAGGACATCGACATCTTGCCTCTCTCGAACCCCTTCCGCCCCGTTGGAGTATGATTTCGGCTGATGTAGGACATTGGACACATCCCAGAACGCATGAGAAAGCCCAGTTCATGATCGTGATAGACGAGAACTCCCGATTCAGAACTGCCCGTATCCTGACCCGTGGTTCCAAGCAACAACGTACGGCCGCTGCTTGTTTGGAGTATCTTCAGGAGGGATGGATGCAGTATTTCGGTAGGCCACACACCCTGAGACTTGATCCCGCTGGCTCCTTCCGAAGCCAAACCGTGGAAAGTTTCTGTGATAGGCATGGGATTTACTTGGAAATCATTCCGGGGGAGGCGCATTGGAAGTTGGGGATTTGTGAGCAAGCAGTTCAGGGAGTCAAGGAGGTGATGGGAAAGCTGTGTGATGATGATCCGAATTTGAGTATGGAGGAAGTGCTGGCGTTGGCGGTGATGACCTTTAATCAACGTGAGTCTGTACGAGGGTTTTCGCCAGTGCAACATGCCTTAGGACACAATCCTGATCAAACGGGGCCCATCTTGGACACCATGAACCAGGCCCCAATTCAACAGTTGTGGGAGGACCCCCAAGGCGATTTCGAGAGGGCCGCTCAGCTAAGGGCTAAAGCGGAAGGGGCACACTCATCATGGGTTGCACAACAACGAATCATTCGGGCTCAAAACTCCAGAGCACAGAACCCACTTGACTACCAACCGGGGGAACTTGTGTTCTTCTGGCGAGCTCAGGTGGGACAGCAGGGTCGTAGACAGCCAGGGGATAAGCATGGACGTTTTGTGGGACCAGCACGAATACTGGCGACAGAGCGGAAGCGAGAGTCAGACGGCAGTCTTGTGCCGGGTGGCTCAGTATGGCTGGTGCGTGGAAGGAGCTTGATCAAGTGTTGTCCGGAACAGATCCGACGAGCGTCGGAACGAGAACAGCTTGTGGAAACCCTGGTCTCCCCAGAGCAGCGGACGCCGTGGAGTTTTACGCGTGTTGCTTCAGAGATTGGGGGCAACCAGTATCAAGATGTATCTTCCGACAAGCCAACAAACCGGGAGTGGCTTCGAGCACAGGACCCCGGGGAGGAACAGCAGCCATCTAGACACCGCATTCGTGGAAAACGACCCGCTCCCGAAGGAGTGGACATGGGCGAGGAAGAAGATGAGGACACGGTCACGCCCGCGACCAGCTCGCGCAGCCCGCGAGCACAAAGGCAGAAAGGCAGCGGTTTTCAAGCGGCTCAAGCTTGGTGGACGGAAGTACCCGAGCGACTCTGGGAACCCACTTCATCAGCTTATTGGGCAAGTGATACAGCCGCTGTGGCCGTGGAGGTTGACCTACCCCACAACACACGTGGGTTGGAGAAGACACTTCACAATCTGCCAGCTTTCTTTGTGGGAGCTATGAAGCGTCGAGCGGTAGAAGTCTGCGAGCGTAAGCTGACGGAAGAAGACAAGGAGAAGTTCCGCGCGGCTAAGACCATTGAGGTTCGCAATTTCATCGCGGCCAAGGCGTTCGAGACGCTACCGGAAGAGATGAAGCCCAGCCGAGACCAGGCAATTAACATGCGATGGATCTTGACGTGGAAGGCGACAGATGATGGAGGCCGTAAGGCCAAGGCGCGAGCGGTTTTACTTGGCTATCAGGACCCGAAGTACGAACATCGTGCCACAACGGCACCTGTTATGACGCGACAGACGAGACAGATGCAATTGCAATTGACAACCATCCACGGGTGGACAGTGCAAAAGGGAGACGTGTCTGGCGCATTCTTGCAGGGAAGAGAGTATCCGGATCAGCTGTTTTGCGTGCCGTGCAAAGAAATCTGCGAAGCGATGGGCATTCCAGAGAATACCATTACCCGCTTGAAGCGAGCCTGTTACGGGCTAGTGGACGCACCACTGGAGTGGTATCGTACAGTGGACGCCTATCTCCAAGAGTTGGGACTGGAGCGTACCTACTCCGATGCATGTGCCTGGGTGTGGCGGCCTCAAGGAAGGCTGCGCGGCATGATTTCAGGGCACGTAGATGATTTCCTGTTCAGCGGCGGCTCCCAGGACAAAGAGTGGCAAGACATCTTGGAAAAGATCAAACAGCGGTTTCAGTGGGGAGACTGGGATACGGACAAATTTGTTCAGTGCGGCGTGCAAGTGGAACGTACTTCAGAAGGTTTTCTCCTAAGCCAACCAAGGTACCTGGAAGGAATACAGGAAATCCCCATCTCATCCAGTAGGAGAAAGGAGAAGGACACCGCGACGACGGAACGGGAGCGAACGCAACTGCGTGCGCTACTGGGCGGCCTGTCGTGGCACGCCCAACAGGTGGCACCTCACCTATCCGCTGAGGTGAGCTTGCTACTTTCGGAAGTGCCAGAAAGCACCGTGGAGACGATAGTCAAGGCGAATCTTCTCGCCTATCATGCCAAGGGCCGGAAAGATCACCAGATGATAATACATCAATTCAGTCCTGAAGAACCTTTGGCACTCTTCGGTTGGGTCGATGCGGCGAGCCAGAACCGTAGAGATGGAGGGTCGACGCAAGGGATCTTTATAGGACTAGGACCGGCAAGTATGTTGACTGGTGACTTAGGCAAGGTCACACCTGTGGCGTGGCACTCAAACCGCATTGATCGGGCATGCCGATCCCCAGGCGCAGCGGAAGCACAGGCTGCCATAAACGGCGAGGACGCATTATATTTCGCCCGCTACCAGTGGAGTGAACTTGTTCATGGTAGACCTGAGGTTCGTGATCCGGATGCGACAGTTGCTAAGGTGACTGGATGCCTGGTTACCGACTCGCGGAATGTGTATGATAAACTAGAGACTGAGGTGCTTGTCATCAAGGGCGCAGAGAAGAGAACGAATATCGAGCTCCTCTCATTGAAGGAGGCCCAGCGACATCATGGCCTTCTTATGCGATGGGTACACTCCGAGGCTCAGTTAGCTAATGCGCTTACAAAGCACAACAGCAAAGAGATGGAGCTGTACTACCGAACTCGCCACATGTGGCGAATCGTAGAGGACCCTGAGAGAATGTCGGCTCGCAGACGCAAGCAAGCTGGCATCGAACCACTTAGTTCGGGAATGGAAAAATCAGGTTGATGGATTCTTAGTTTCTCTCGGGGAGGCGGAGGAACCGGGGCATGCAGGTGAAACCTGACTGCTCCGTCTCTTGCAGGACTCAGCAGTGCAAGAGCGCGATAACGAAGCTTTGTGAATCAAGGTGACGCAAAAAGGCGTGCCAGCAGGAGTGCCTCTAAAGCTCTGTAGAATCTGAGCCATCGTTTACTCCTTGTGGCGGAACCATCACGAGTAGCAGCTTGGGCAGAATTATCCATTGGACCGTGCAAGTGCCTCAACCACTTGCAGGGTTTAGGGTTGTGATTTAGGGTTGAGGCTTTGGGTGTAGGGTTTAGGGTGTTGGTTTGTGGTTTAGAATTTAGGGTTTGGGGTTTAGGGTTGTGGTTTAGGGGTTTAGGGTTTAGGATATAGGGCTTAGGGTTCAGGATTTATTACGCTTGGCCGAGACTCGGCCGTGACCCGGCCGAGATTCGGATTTAGGGTTCGCTAGGGTTTAGGGATTAGGGTTAAGGGCTTAGGAGGGTTTTTGGGTGTAGGGTTTTGGCTTGTGGTTTAGGGTTTAGGCTTTGGGTGTAGGGTTTAGGGTGTTGGGTTGTGGTTGTCGTCGTCGTCGGAATGTCATCGTGGCCGTGGTCATGGTTGTCGTCTCGTCGTCGTCGTGGCCCCCGGGTTTCAGGGGGTTTAGGGGGTTGTGGAGTTTAGGGTAGTAGGAATAGGGATTAGGATTTAGACTTTGGAGTTAGCCGAGACTCGGCCGAGACTTGGCCGAGACAAGGATTTAGGGTTTAGGGGGTTTCGGTGTTTCGAGGATTTCGGTGGTTTAGGACGTTCAGGGGGTATAGTGAGTTTAAGGGGGCATATGCAATGTGTGAGCGGGTTTTTAATTTGGCCTAGGCCTGAAATGATGTCCTCTGTCGTGGCCGCCTCACAGTGGCCGTGACATGGCCGAGACAATGCAATGTGTGAGCGGGTTTGTAATTTGGCCTAGGCCTGAAATGATGTCCTGTGTCGTAGCCGCCTCACAGTGGCCGTGACATGGCCGAGACATTGCAATGTATGAGCCGAGACGTCAAATCAGACATAAAAAAACACATTTTGACACAAAAAAAAAAGACGAAAAGGACACGCGACCCAGAGAGAGAGAGAGAGAGAGAGAGAGAGAGAGAGAGAGGGAGAGGGAGGGAGAGGGAGAGGGAGAGGGAGAGGGAGAGGGAGAGGGAGAGGGAGAGGGAGAGGGAGAGGGAGAGGAGAGGGAGAGGGAGAGGGAGAGGGAGAGGGAGGAGGGAGGAGGGAGAGGGAGAGGGAGAGGGAGAGGGAGAGGGAGAGGGGAGAGGGAGAGGGGGAGGGAGAGGGGGAGGGAGGGAGGGAGGGAGGGAGGGAGGGATACCGTAGATGGACAGATAGATATTTTATACGTGGGTTTTCCACAATGCTGGTTTCTCTCAACCCCTGGCTCAACTCTTAAGTAGTGCCCAAGTGCGTTGTCATTCGGTGACGCAGCCCTTGAGATTGACAAGATATGTCTCGCTGTGAGATTTTAACCCTTGTTCCCTGTTTCGGATCGGAGATGGATGCCGCAGGGCTTTGTGCGATGAGGTCCGTGGCTTTGCGATTTGGTGGTTTTGGACTTTGCCTACATTTTGCTTTTTTGTGTTGGAAACTGATAGCGTTTATCGCAACATTTTTCTGCGGCGACCGATTATGACCGGGGTTGTGGTCGAATCTGAAAGGCCCGCAACTGAAATTACACAAAGCCTGATGACCCTGACGAGGCCCACGCTTTTGGGGCTACCAGTACCACGTTTTATCGCTCTGCAATTCCTTAAACCAAACCTCCGCCTGTAAATGTTGGCAGGCCACGCTTCACAAGTGGAAGCGCAAAAGTCCGAAAGATAAACTTGTACTTGTGTAGTGCAATAAACAGCGAACTAGTTCGCTTACTTTGTCACCAGTCCACTGAGTAGCCCACGTCCGAGAGCCTAATGCGTGCATCGACCCCGTAGCACCAGAAACTCTTGGCATTGGCTAAGCAATGCCGACGAAAAAATCAATACGAACAGCACGGCTGTTCTCCTCTTCTATGCACGGCCAACTTCTTGCCAGCAAAGCAAAGCTGCTTGCCAAGGAGCGGCAAGTCTCGAGCCGGCAGGCTTCTTCAACAAGCGCTGAAATCGCCGAACTCACTCGAAGCGAAACCCTTTGCATCGCCAGCTTCATTGGACAGGTTTGCCGCCGAAGTCGATTTGCGAAAAAACAACGACAACTCCTTGGAACCGACCCCAGCCACCCACGAAATCCACGAAGCAGACGACGTGGCCCTTAATGAACGCTGGGTGCAGCAGCGGACAAGGATGGACAACGAGACAGCTTTTTCTGCGCAACGGACTCGCTGAGGCACCTGTTAGCCCAGACGAAGACACAGGCGCAGACAAACACAAACTTCACGGCAACCTGAGGGCGTTTCTGGTCAGAACGCAAGGCCTCTTGAATTGCGGAACCCGAAGCAGACCTCTATGTTTAGGAGATCGAAAGGGTTTGGCTTTTTGTTTCTCGTCCGGAAACCAAGCTGACGGTGGATAATGGTGGATAAAGTGATTCAACCGACCAGAAGTTGTCCACGAAAAGACTTTCAAAAGCACTGAAGCCGCTTCCCTAATCGACGACCGAAACTTCGATTTGCGACTGTGACAGACTGGACCTTGGAACACTTGTGACCAGCGTGAAGCCAGGCTTCGCCTCTGCAGATCTTCTCGCTCTGCACAATGGCGAACATTCTGGCCGAACCAAGGACCACTTCATCAGACACGGACTGCTTCCACCTGCATAGCCGATGACCGAGTCGCTCTTGCATATCGGGGTAACGGGCTAAGCCGTATGGGAAACACGGACTCCCACGTCATAGTGCATCTGGGTTTATCGCAACGGGGCTCCCGGATCAGTAACTCAATACTCACAACTAGGCAGCTGCAAAAGCGAGGATCCAAGTTCGACGACGACAACATGCAACAACTCACAAGCCAGCTCCACAGCACATTGACCTGGAGCTTTCCAAAACCTCGTCCACATGCATGGGTTCACTCTGACCAGCCCGTGGGAGATCGTAAGCATCAACTCCGACATCCAAATGTCTCGTGCAGAATCTTACGCATCCTAGTTCAGGACGTAAGCTAGCAGCTAGCATTAGGCTTGCGCAAGCTGCAAACTGAACATCGAAGATACGTCAGTCACCAGACATCACGCAGCATGCAGTGTGTCAGGCAACTGACTTCATCACTTCAGCAACCTGACTGAATCATACTGAATCGACGCAAGCAGATAGCTGCGGTGTGTGCCTCCTTTGCAGTCAAGGCACCACTGCGCCACTGCACCGGCATACGTGCACTGCAACACGAATATCGCGTGCTGGGGCTACAGAGAAGGCTGTCTGCAAGTATGAGATACACTGAATCCTGTATCACCAGTCACATCGTTTCCAGTCCAAGAGCCAACGGGGTCACGAATGCACTGTAACACATCCATGCAATCAGCTGTTGACATCCCGTCTCGTCTATACCAAAGCCCACGACTGCAAAAGTAGTCGCGAAATTACAGTCTTACAGAACTCGAAGGTACCCATGTCATCAAATCCAAAACCAACTGGAGTCCAGAGTGACTACCGACCAGCACGCATAGGAAGCCATTGCGACAGGCATCAACTCATATATTCCAGCCAGTCAGTGTCAGGATAGGGTCGACTCGGGCTTGAGTTTCGAGCCTGGACACCATCATAACAAAGTCTGTTAGGACTGTGACGAAACGTATCCATCAACTGACTTCATGAACTCACTGATGAACTCATGCCGTCAGTCGTCCATCCAGACGCAGGAATGCTTACTGTTTGGGCGTCAGTTGTCTTGCGTCAACGCAGGGTGAGAGCCGTCAGAGAGCAGCGTGCGAGGGCCCTCGGCGAGGGCAGTTGCAAAAAAGGACCCTGCTACAATAAGGGGGCACGCAGGGGAAGAAACCAACATGACAGCAGGTTGGGCTTTGAAAAGCAGTTGGGCGAACCCAACCAAATATACAAATGACTACACCGCAGTTCTGCCTCGAACACTGGATTGGGCACTTCATTGTGGGCCAGAAAACGCCGTGAACTGCACAACCTGGGAAAGCACGAGCGCGGTGAACAAAAGGTTGCCCAGCTACGAAGTTGCTAGTCGCTCGCGGACCTCGTCAAGGTGAGAAGCAGTTCCTGCTGCGAACTGCAGTTGTTGGCCAAATCACGCTTTTGTGGTTCGACGCAAGGCGGTCAGGACACGAGTCCCCACAGGCCGCATCACGCAAGAACAAACGGATCCCCATGGCTTTTTGTCCAACAACTCCTGACTGAGTGGAAGCAGACATGACCCAACAAACAGCCTGACCTTGAACTTGCAGGCTTGGCGAAAGAGAATCGCGACCCAGAGTTTTGAATCCGAATTTCTGGTTCGGGACCAGCCGAGAAGTTGGAGGTGCACACGTGACCAGCACTAATTGGTTTGAGACTCTGAAGGTTGGATGCCAGCTTGGTGCGTCTCCGAACGGAACGACTGACGGGCGGTTCATCCTCACCACCTGAAAGCATGCACCCAAGCGAACCAAGGTTAAGCCCGACCAACAGCCGCCAGGCAAGCCAATTTAGCTCGTTCTTCTCTAGGAAAGCACGATGTTCTCGACTCCACTTCGACTCCTGTCGCTAAAAGCCCTCGGAGCGGACATGGAAGGCCAATCCCACGAACACTTCTTGTAGTAATTCGTCTCTACTCTGATCTGTGGGATCTGATGTGGGTGATCGCGAACCATGTTGATGAAGAAAACCGAGAAGGCGATTGATTTGGTGATGCTCCCTGCCCTGAGCGAATATCATCCCACCCCTCATCGGATGCCGAACACATCGATGATCGCTAGAAGGCGCTGCGTTTCTGGCTGCGGTCAGTTCTTCCAGTTCCGTTGTCCAAGCACAAGCTTTTCGATCCTTTGCTTGGCCCCCTCAAAGGGGGTTG